TGTGAATTTATATTTTTGGGTTAAAGTATGCTTGAACTCAAAAGGCTTCAAAAGAAGTATCAAAACTAGGCCTAAAATGTGGAAGATTTGATTTTTATGACATAAAAAGAATTTGCGGTTTTAAACCGCTAATTCACGGTAACCGACTGCTTTTTGCGGTTTACCGCAATGCGATAAACCGCAAAAAACGGTCAGTTTGCGGTTTCAAAAATCACTATACCGCAAATAGTCGATCGGTTTGCGGTTTGGACAAAAATTTGCTGTTATCGAACCGCAACCACCCCTAGATAAAATAATGGTTAAAATTTTCAGATAAGTGCTATATATCCAGAAGAAAACACCAAGAATTTCAAGCATAAATGGTTTTAATGATTCAGATAAGTCTTTAAATACTATGCTCAGACTTCTCAAGGCGGTTGTTGAGAATTGAAATTGAACACAAAGAGAGCGTTCTCTTCTTTTCTCATAATCTGAGTATTCTTAGCATCGACAAGTTTGAGTGTTTTTTCTTGTCTTTTGTGCCTAATTCTAGGGTATACAGAGCTTGATGGTTGTTGGTTCATGTTTCCCAACACCCTGGCTCAAGTACTATTGCATCACATGTGCTCATTTATCATCGGGATCCATAATTCTTTGGTATGTGTAGAAGCTCATAGGCCTTGAGGTTTTCCATTACCAATGCTATACATGAATTTTCGAGAGAGGAAATAACATTTGAATTAGTTCTCGATGTTAGAGCATCTCCAACTGATATGTCAAAAGTGCCACATAAACATTTAACGGCTATAAATTACATCTCACATCACTCCAACCGAATTGTCAAAGCTGATGTGGAATGAAGGTTGGAGGTTTAGCCGTTACTTTTAACATTCCAAAAGTAAGATGTCAAATGAATATTTTATTATTTTTTAAATATAGCTGGTTGTTACTTTCATTTATTATTTTCCTTTTTTATTTTTTTTCTTCTTTTTATTAAATGATTTGACTGTTACAATAATTATTTATTTGACATATCGGGTGGAGTGTAAAACAGTGTAAATATCAAATTGTCACATTAGCCATCAAATTTAAATTTAATGTCTGGTATTTGACATCTCCCTTGGAAATGCTCTTAGACGGTCAAGCTGCTAATCTTAATTCTTGATCAAGTTCAAATTGTTAGCTTGATATAAACCGTAGTTTAAGTACAACTTCAATCATCAAAAGCATTAACATCTTGAAATATTGTAGGCTACTCATAGAGTGTTGGATCCAATAGCCTTGGAGTTGGGATGAGAACCAGAGGTATCTTCTTCTTCATCACAATCCCAAACTTCTCTGAAAGATCCAGCTCCTCCCCCTGTGGCAATTTCCAGTCAAAGGAATGCAAGAGTGTAGCAAGTGTATATAGCACCAACTTCTCAGCCATTCCTATCCCAACACATATTCTTCTGCCTGACCCGAATGGTAAATAGTTGAAGTCACGTCCACTATAGTCCCATTTTCCATGCAAGAACCTGTCTGGATCAAAATCCAATGGGTCTTCCCAGTTAGAAGGGTCCCTATGAATAGCCCATGCATTAACAAGAACCCTAGAACCCTTTGGAATGGTGTAGCCGCCCACTGTGCATGTTTCACTTGGGCAGTGAGGGATTAAAAGTGGCGCGAGTGGGTGCAGGCGCAGAGTTTCTTTCATCACAGCTTGTAAGTATGGTAATTTGGAAATATGAGTTTCTTGTACAATGTTGCCTTTGCCAACTACATCGTCCAATTCTTGCTTGGCTTTTCCCATCACCGTTGGATTGCTCATGGTTTCAGCAAATGCAAACTCAGCTGTGTTGGAGGACGTGTCAGTCCCACCAAGCATCATATCCTGCCCTCAATCATATTGTTAAACATCATGTTAATGTGATAGTTGGCTTACAATTCACATGAAATAAGAGAAAGATATTTATGCTTACGCTCCACAAGGCACGTTATTTTACTAGACTATTTGGTACCCAAGGATTTTAGGAGATTGTGAATTGAACTTAATGATCACAATAATTTGTCTAAAATTTGGTACTGTAAGATTCTCGTACCCTAAAATTTGTTATGGACACATCCTAATTCTAGTATCCTAAAATTTGTTATGGACACTCAATTACTCGTGATACCGTTATTGTGTTTTTAAACTATACCTTCCCCCTTTGTTGTGGCGCTGAAAGGAAGCTTGGATTTGTTCTAAAAGTTGCTCACTACACCAAGTCACTTTTAAAATATTCCGACTAAAATCCTTAAATATTTTATTTTATTTTTTTGATACTTCAAAGGAAAAACTAATAATTATCCCAAAATAATCTTTTCATATCCCAATTGAATACACCTCCTAAAACTAATCTACAAATCAAAACAAAAAAAATAAAAAATAACAACCTGATATTTTTCTCAAAAAGTTAAGTTAATATGGATGAGAAATTGGGAAAACTAACAATCACAAGTTTTGCCAAGTATGTTGCCAATCATTTTTTACCTCTTATTATAGTGTGGTTCTGGAGGAGCACGCATGCAAAAAAGAAGTTTGAGCTTGATGCAAATGACCAAAATATCTTCTGCATTATATGATTATCAATCAAATAAAAAGTTATTTTATGTATCAATCCTTATATCTCCTACCACATGAGAAATTATAGAATAGTACTGTATTACCACATCAGCTGGTGATACTTCTATTTAAAATTTGCCATGTGTCATTTTTAAAAATAATTAAAGCTTTATTTTACAGTTGGACATAAAACCCAACTATAACCCTTTGAAATAAAATTTAAAAAATAAAATATCACGAAAAAGATGGAACCGCCCACCTCGACCCAATCTCCTACTGCCCCCTCCCTATCTCTCTCCCTCTTCTCACGCAGTTCAACAACTTAACCATATGTGAATCCGTCATTCTCATCCTTTCGATGGCTACCCCAAGACCTAGTTATATTTCCCTTTTGAAGGTCTCACTCATTTGTTGACTACTAATTCTCAGATTGTCATCAAATTTGTAAAAGCTTGATGTGAGAGATGGGTGTTGATGGTAATTGAATTTCAATGCTTAAGATATGTTGCATGTGCTTCCATGGATTCAAGAGACCTTTCAGTTTGAGAGAGAGAACCCATGAGACCTTTCAGTTTGAGAGAGAGAGAGAGAGAGAGAGAGAGGCAATAAAGGGAGGCAGTGCATGGTAAGGGGTTGGGTCTGGTGTAGGGGTGGCATTTTAGAACAAAAAACCGAAAAAACCGCAAAAACCAATCGACATTATACCGCATTGGAACTGCAATAACTAAAAACCGACCGAACATTGCTGTTTTAGAAAGATATTTTGCTCTATTTTTTCTACTCTTTAGCTCTTCTGACTATGGCAGTGCTGAGTATTTTGCTCTATTTTTGCTAATTAGTTTTTTAATCTCTTATGGACTCTCAAAGAAACAAGATATTGGGAAAACTTCAGTTTTCGTTTATAAAATTCTGGGCTCTTTTACTTTTTTGGGTTTCACCCATTGCTTTTTCTTCTGTTTTCTGATTAATAAGAGAGCAATTTTCATTTTTTTTTTTTTTTTTTTTTGGTTGGATAAAAATGGATTGGTGATGATATATTTGTATAAATGATGTGTTGAATCAAAGTGCTGAAAAAACTAAAACCCAAAAAAAAATAATAAACAGAGCAAAAGAAACCGATGCCCCAATGTCAGAAGAATCAGAAGGTGATATATAGGGGTCGAACTCTACAGCGGCTTCAGAATGTGTTTCGTTTGTTTGTTTGTTTTTCATTTTTTTCCTTTTTTTCCAGAAAATGTGTTTTTAAATTAATAGAGTAAAAAAAAACTATACATGGATTTTAAAATAAATGTTTTCTCCACTCTTAGATTAGATCCAATGGTGGATGACCACAAACTCCTTGGACTACAAAGGTCCAGGAGAACGAGACACTTATATGCTATCACTTATATGTTGTTATCCGTTATGAAATAGCTTGTCTAGGTCTATTTGGTCATTAAGTCATATCAAATTCAATATGAAGCTAATCATTATGAGTAGTCTAAGTGATGCAAATAAGGAAACATTAAAGTTAAGCATTGGGATAGAAAGCACTCATCTCATTATTTTGGCTTTTAATAAGATCCATGAATTTGGAATAATTTGGCTTTTAATAAATTTAATGTATTTGGAATACTTAAGAGTTCTCAATGTATCTAGATTAATGGGGTTCATTATCTAGATTAGTGAGTTCATTAATTTGGGTCCAAAGTTTTTTTTTTCGTTAGTGTGGTTGGTCCAAAGGTTTGAATTGAATCATGTGGGCATTTGGCTTTTGTATGGAAATCAAGTTTTGAAGAACAGTAGTTCACGTACCATGAGCAGAGCTTTGATGTGAGTCATGGTCAGAGGCGTCTTGGAATCTCCTCCCTCCTCTTTCAATTTCAACAAAGAAGTCAAAAAATCTTGACTCTCTTTCGCGCCTTCCTCCTCCATCTTCAGCCGTCCAACAATCATCTGCTCCAATATCCCATCAAACCTCCGGACCAGCCCCTCCATCTGCTTCTTTATACCCTGCAAATCGAACCGACCCAAACCCGGAAAAAAATCCGAAACATTGGGCCGACCTATGAGCCCCGTTATCTCCGACACCACTTTCCGAAACTCCGCCCCGAGCCCGGCCCTCTCCTCCCCGTCCTCCGCCGCGATGCAGCCGCCACATATCATGTTAGAGATGACGTTAAGCGACGTCAGGAAGATCTGCTCGCCCATGTTTACGGGCGACCCGGCCCGACCGTACAAGTACCCAACCGTCTTTCGGACCTGGTTTTGGCGGATCGATTGGAACGAGTCCAGCGAGGCGCCGCCGAGCATCTTCAGGATGGAGACCTTTCTCAGCATCCGCCACTCCGGCCCGTGCGGTGTCCACACGACGTCGGCCCCTCCGTAGAAGGCGATCCGGGCCGCTACGGGGACGTCACGGTTGGCGAAGGTAACGTCACGGTCTTTGAGGACTTCGCGGGCGGAGGAAGGGGAGTTGATGACGACGCAGGTCATGGCGCCGAGGCGGAGCTTGAAGATTGGGCCATAGGTGTGGGCCAGGCGGGCAAAGTAGGAGTGGAGTTCTGGGTCGAGAGAGAGAAGGTTACCGAGTAAGGGCAAGCCCAATGGGCCTGGGGGCAAAGGTGGGAGTTTGTTGCGGGACCTTTTCATGCACAGCCATGCACACCAGATGCTCGCGAAAATGGCTGAGAGAGTGTAGAGAAGAAGCCAACTCTCATAATTTCTGGTACTAGTTTTGAACCAATCCATGGTAAGCTTCAAATTGGGATTCGAGTTTTGTGTGAAGAAATAAAGGGAGAAAGGGAAGGACTCAGTGTGTTGCTAGTGAATATCCAGAGTACACTCAATGGCGGCTGAACCTAACTTTTGATTTAATTATAATTTTTAGATTAATGTTTTGTTGATTAAAAAAAACCCATGATGTAAGGAAATTGGCAAGATAGTGATTAACTTTCCATTAATCGTTGCTCAATTATTTTATATATTTGTCGTGGCTTCATTTTTCCTATTTTATATATCTGTAGCCCCTCATTTTGATAGGCAGGGTTTCCTCCTTAATCATTCACATTACCCATGATTTTTTTATATATATCTTGACTTCAATAATCGCACTAAAAAAAAAGTAATAATAATTAAAGCTAAGTGGTGCCCATGGAAATAAAAGATCCACATGCAATAACTCTGAAGAAAAATTGGATATCAGTGTGAGGTGAATTGCTCTTCACTCTTGAATTGATCTTGATCAGGCTCCACATGAACAATATGATCATCACTGGAGATCCACATTGCTACAATATCCGTTTCATTGTTTGTTGCATGCACGTTAGCATCGATGTGGCCTATTTAATTTTAATTAAATTAATTTGATGAAATGATGATGCATAGACCTAGGTAGGGTAAGGGATAAATGATGCATAGACCTAATTTGATGGGATAAAAGATGAGACAACGTCATTGTTTTTTCTTTAAAACACTTAACTTGAATTTGATGACCAATTGGTTATACTTCACCGAAAATGTTTTTAAATATATTTTTATTATTTTATATATATTTTTCAATATATTTTTTTTAAAAATCTGGTGGGGTCGAAAGAATTTTTTTTTAAAAACAGTAATAATAATTAAAGCTAAGTGGTGCCCATGGAAATAAAATATTCAAAACAAGGAAATAAGGCCACAGTATTAAAATTAAAAAAAAAATTACAACAACAACAATCAACCACGCCATTCGCTTCTAAATCAAAGAAATCAAAGCTTCATTTTTCCACAGCAGGAAACTTTAGTTTGGCCCTCCCGATATCCTCTCTTGGGTTTTCACACATCGCTTCTTGGGGCTCATCACTTGAGCCTCCAAAGATCACACCCTTCTCTCTTGAACTCTTCTCTTGATCTCGCTTGCGCTTTCCTGGGTTCTCCAAGGCTTCCAACTGCTTTTGCATGTCTTTAGAATAAAAATTTACCACCTTTGATAGCTCTTCATTCTCTTCCTGCAATATCCCAAGTTGGGGTCGATTCTCCTTTGTCGTCTTTGCCCTATCCTTTTTCGATCTTTTGATCTCACGCTGACACTCATCAACCAAATTCCGTTTTGCCGCCAACTGAGCTCTCAGTACTTGCGCTTCATGAGATTTCGCAATGAGGTGATGCCCCACACTTGCGATAGATTCCGCACTTTGCACACTCAGTGTCGTGGCATCGCTCACTAACCAGTTGTCATCCCTTGCTTCCAGCACACGCACATCCCTAGGAATCACCAAACTCCTCGCAACTCCAATGGCAACTTCGTTGTCAAAGCGTAACGATTCGTTAACTTTCACTAGACCTCATGAGGAAGCAAAGTAGGGCATCCAGACAGGTACAACTCATTGCCCCCTTGTCTGTATTGGCGGAGCTAGGTTGAGATCTAGAGAAAATGGGGAGGAAGAAGCCATTATATTTCTGATTTCTTTTTCTTCTCTTTTCTCTATTCTTCTTTCTTTCCTCTTTTCTGCGTATTTGTGATTTTATCCCGCGTTCATTTTTTTTAATAGACAATTATCATCATCAGAACCCCCTAATTATGCATTCCATTTCTTACACGAATCCCTCGAGCTTCTTTCAACAAAGTCGTCACGACTTCCCAAAAAGCAATTATGTTTACTTGGGATGTATGCATGCGACTCACCGGGAAAGGAGGGGCAATTTTTCCCTCTTCCATTATCTTTCTCTAGGGGAAAGGAGATGTTGTGAAAAAATCTTTAACTCATCTCTCATTTCCTCTCCTCCAAATACTCTCCCAAAAATCTTTAAGTAAAATTTGTGAAAATATCAAGGAAGACAAATTTGGGTTGTAAAAACCCAAGCCCTTCGCACAAAACCATAGTTATCTTCCTCATCTAATGGGTTTTTTAGGGTTTTTTATTTTTTTTTTATTTTTTATGTTTAATTATTCAAGTTTTTGCTTGGTTTCATTTTCTTGGCTCTCCACATTCGCAATTATTTGATCCTTTGAGATTTAAAAGGAAGCAGAAGACTGAAAGTTCAGACCAGAAAATGAAAATATGGAGTGCAGGTGAGAATTGAAGGGAGGTCAATCATGGGAGATCTCTGAGATTTTTCTTTGATATAATGCCATCATGGTTGGTGGGCAAGCACCTAGCTTTTCTGGATTTTTATACTTGGTGGATGTTGGGTTGAGTTCAAAGTCAAATTATACTTCAAAGAACTTCCTTTGATCATTGTTTGACGATTGGACTTGATGATTAATGAGTCCACAGTAGTTTTGTGGGTGCCATTGATCAATTAAACTTAAAGCTTTGTATATAAAGGCTTCATCCTCAGTTATACAAAAGGCTTTATCTATTATAATATATATATATATATATAAGGGGTCTAGAACCAGAGAGACACATTATTGATAGTAATTAAACATAGAAAATAAAATATGCGAAAGTAATGCATGAATGAAAGTAATGAATAAATGAAAATATGCGTAATTGAAAACATTGACTTACAGAAAAATCTTGATTGGAAGATTTTATTTATTCATAGCACTCATATCTTACAAGTGTTCTTCAGAGTGTTGTTTTTGAGAGAACTTTGAAACTGAAAAACTAAAATTTCATTTTAAGTTACATTCTGCCTACAACTGAGACCAAAACCTCTATTTAAAGAGCCGAATCAAAGATTGTCGGCAACATTGGATGCTTTTACTGACTGTAGAGGCAAGAGAATACTTTTGCTTTTACTTTGTCGGGGAATCCACTTTTACTATTGCTTTAACTAGAGCATGATGACTGTCGGAGAATATTGACTGTAGTGCTTTTGTCTTTGTTGACTAGTCTTTCATTGAGATCATAAGGGTCTTGACTATCTGGATAATCTGCCCACCGGAATTTCTAGGTGGACTCTTTTTGACTTGATGGAATTTGAGGCAGACTAGAAGAGGATTGAGACTTTGGAGATGCATCGTCATCATCATCTTCATCATTCATTTGTGAAGCTTGAATCATTAATTGTCTCGCCAGTTCTTTTAGTTCTGACTTCGATCTTCCTTCAATTGGGAGGGAAGAATGAGAAGTGTTAGAGGTAGAAGGCTTCTGGGGAGTTTTGAATGAAGGAAATTCAATGTTGACTTGATCAATAATCCTTTTGGTTTTGAATTTATCCCACTATTTGACTGAAAATTGTCTGGAGAGAATTCTTGATTCCCAATTGACTTGATAGGACCATTTTAAGATCCAAGGGACTTTGTATTTGGCAATAGGAGTTTTGGGAAGAATCGACTTTCTTGCATAAATTTATATTTACTGAAAAAATACTTGATTATCTCTTTGAGATTGGGAGGAAGAAGCTCAATAGTGGGACCATGGATTTCCCACCAGGAGGAGAACCAGTAGGGAAATTGACTTTTGAATTTACTGTCGAAATTGACAAACCATGAGTGACTAAAATCATCGGTTTGGTGAAGGAAAATGATGTGCCAAGCTTGAATATAATCATCATAATTAAATTGGAGATTGGAATTGAGTGTTTTGAAAGAATAGGGATGGTCACCCCATTTAGATTGACTGAGAATATTCTAGATGGACATGGAATGATAGAGAATGATATTTGGGTCACTTCTATCCTTGATTGGTCTGGTTTCTAGTGATTGGGTTTCGAGAAGAATATCTCGGTAATACTTGAGTGACTTGGAAGGGTGTGAAGGAATATAGTGAAAATTGGAGGGAAAATAAGCTTTGGCTATTTTGACTGGGTTAGTACAATGATTAAAACATGACTCAATGAGGAAGAGAGTTCGACTATTTCTGTGGAAGTAAGGAGATGACTTAGTGTGACTGATGGGAGAAGCGGTAGGAGAAGGAGTTATGACTTGGAATTGATCATAACTGGATATTAAGGCTGACTGATAATTAGGGTGGATTTGGCTGACTATGGAACCAAGACTGGTAAACCTGTTACTAATCTGTATGGGTGTTACTAATCTGTATGGGTGAATGACCTGCGTAGGGGATGACTTGAGATGGCTGCTCTGTCTTGACTGGAATCATTTATTGTGGGAGTTGTCTGACTGGTTGCTTGCCTTGTTGTTTTGAGTGTTTTTCTGCCATTGTTTTTCCTGGAGAAATTATCTGGTAAGAAAATCTGGAATAGAGTTCTCACTTCCTCTCAAATATTCAATATCAAAATAAAAAATACTTAAAATAGCTTGCCATCGTACAAAAATCTGTTTTGATGCAATGTTTTGAACATCTTTTTCTAAAACATGCTTTGCACTTTTACAATCGACTCTGACTAAAAAATTTTGATTTAATAAATCATCTTAAAATTTTGTAATGCTTATTATAGATAAAATTTCCTTTTTAATAGTACTATAATTACGTTGTGACTGTGTCCAAACTCCAGAGTGGAATCGAACGATTTGTTCTGTTTGGCTTGGATTGACTCTTTGTTTAAGGATGCCTCCACAACCATTTTCTAAGGCATCAGTTTCAACAATTTTGAAAGAATTGACTGAAGGTATACCAAGGCAATGGAGTGTTTTGACATGGACTTTGATTTGTTTGACTATATCTGTATGGGCGGAGGTCCAAGTTGGAGGATTACTTTGGAGCCTGTCAAATAAAGGTTTACATTGCTTGAATAAATTCTGATAAAAATCATAGACGTAATTTAGAGAACCTAAGAACCTTTGGAGTTGGCTTTTATCGAGAATTTGATATGGAAATTTATCAGCAAATTGAATGACTCGATCAATTGGACTGATTTGTGACTGACAAATATTAAAACCAAGAAACCGAATACTGGTTTGGAATAACTTAATCTTTTTGGTAAGGCAACTAAACCATTTTGTTTAACTATTTGAAGGAATTTATGCAGATGTTTCCAATGTTGTTCTATTGACTGGGAGAAAATAAGAACATCATCAATATAAACTATGGAGAAATGACTGATAGGATTGAATATCTCATTCATTATATTCTGGAATTCACTAGGCGCATTTTTTAAACCGAAAGGCATGACATTCCACTCATAGTGACCGAATGGGGTTACAAAAGCAGTTTTATACCTATCTGACTTTCGAATTTGGATTTGCCAAAATCCACTCTTCATATCAAACTTAGAAAAAATGACTGCTTTGTCTAACGTTTTGATTAAGTCTCTCTTATTAGGAATTGGATATCTAATCCATTCTAGAACTGTATTAAGAGGTTTATAGTTTATGACTAATCTTCGGGCTCCTCTTTCTAATTCGGCATTTTTTTGGACATAAAAAGCTAGACAAGACCAGGGTGACTTGCTCTTACAGATTATTCCTTTTTGAAGAAAGTAGTGATCGATCGGTGATTTTTTTTTTTTTTTTTTTTTTTTTTTTTTTTTTTTTTTTGTAGTAGATATATTTTCTTATTAAAGTCTTTTTCATAAGGCAGACTGACTACATGTTGTTTCCTATGCCAAAAAAGCATTCGGAAGATCAAAACAGACTTCTTATTTTAAAATTTCTTCAAATTTCTGAATTTGCGACTATAAAGACTTATCACTAAGTTGTTATTCAATTCTTTCAAACCTAACTTCTTCTTTAAGAAAATCCAGTTGCTTATCTTTATTTTGAATTATTTTGACTGTTTTTGAAACTGCGCTCAGTTTAGTTAAGAATTCAAACTTGACTCTTTCTCCTAAATGGGTAGATATGACTCCATTGTATTCTACTTGAAAAGGGTATAGGAGAGCTATGAAGGGTAATCCAAGGATGAGATATGTAATATTTTTGACTAAAATGAATGAGGTTTTGAAACAAATCTTATTTTGGCAAACATGGGCTTTTGGGATTTCATAGTTTAATTGAAGTGACTTTCCGGAGGTAGTGCTTAATGTTTCTTTTGACTTCTTATAATATTTAGTAGGGATTAATCATTCTTGAATACAATTAAGATTGGCTCCTTAATCAAAAAGAGCTACTGTGTTTAACTCGAAGTTTTTCACAAATATGGTGACTTTAGAATACCATTTCCTAAAATTTACTTGCTTCATTAAATTAATGGTTTGGTCATTATTTGAAGGTTCACCATCTGAATTTGATGGACTTTCTGGTTGGCTCTTGGAATCAGAACTCTCTTTTTCCATTAAATTAATCAAATCTTGTCTAATTTCAAAATTCTCGGCTTGTAATTTGTGACTTATTTGTCTTAACTCTACTATTTCCTTTTTGACTAATTTTACTTCCATTTGTAAATCTTGTAAGGTGACTTCTTTTCTTTTATTAAATTTTTCTAAAGTGGTATTCAGACCTATCTTCTGGGGAATATATTGACTCGTCTCTTCTTGACTAATGACTTTTCTTAACTTCTTCAAATACTCAAATTTTAATTCTGGGTTTTCTACTTTACTAATTAAATCGATTAATAATTCTTATTGTTCTTCTTGTTTGGTAAGGACATTAATTGACATAGTTAGGGTATTGCAGCACTTATCTTTGCACCCTAATTGGACTCTTGGGGAACTTAGTAGGGAATCTGAGGACAAGAAGTGGGATCACCACCGATAAATTCACAGGAGGTATCTATTCCTGTTCTTTGTTATGTCCCATCATCCCGAAGGAAGGAAGGCCAATCCCCATTTGGAGAAGAAGTGAAACCGAGGAAGTTAAGGGAAAGTGACATGAAGTTCTTAAAGGAGTCTACAACCATGCCTTTACACAAGTTGAGCAATTCAGATGTGTTGAAATCTTCAGTACCAGGGTTCGTCAGACCATCACAAGATGCAATAAGACGTGAATATCTTTCGGTCAAAAGAACTAAAGAAGGTTTTGATCCTAATGCTTATAAGCTCATGTCAAAGGCAGGTTATGACTTCGGCTTATCTTCTTCGTTGGGGGAACTTAATCCAGATGTTACAAGAGAAATGACACATGGCCTTAGCGAAACCCAAAAGAAGTGGAAGGAGCAGGGTTACACAATTGACTCAACTAGAGCAGGCCTAGGTTTTACTCATGTCGCACCTGTCAAGATCTATGCTAGAAGAAAAGAAAATAAGGCAAAAGCTCAACACATTAGTGTCGAAGCGGTTGAGGAGAAAGAAGAACCAAAGGCTATTAAGAAAGCCTTAGTGTTCGACCGTTTAGCTAAGCCTACCCAGTAGACCTCAGTTTTTAGCCACATCAAATAATCGACATCACGACCTTCTGTGTTCAAAAGGATATCCGGACATAAAAATCAAAGGAGAATCCAATCAGCTCCACACAAATCAGCGCTAGAAAGACTCGGAGTCCTAAGCAAGCCGTCTGAAGAGGAAAGCCAGCGATAGTTGGAAAGTGGAGTTCATGTTGATTCGACGGAAGATAATGAAATCCGGAGCCTAATCCCATCACGTATGAAACGTCACTCATTAGACATAACTTCAGGTGACCAACTCAAAGTGAAACGACAAACAATCATACGAACTCAGAAAACTTTGAGTCAACAAAATGAAAGTGACGATGAAGAATCAGAAATTCTAGTTGTTCATCACGTTACGATTAAAGAGCTCGATGAAGAGGAACCTTTCGAGGATGAGGTTCATGATGCTCCTCCTGCATTAGAATATGGGGGCCAAGCAACTATTGATGAATTAAAAGAGCTCAACTTGGGCACAAATGAAGACCCAAGACCTATCTTTGTTAGTGCACTTTTGAATCCTAGCGAAGAGGAATCATACCATCAGATGTTACTTGAGTATAAAGATGTCTTTACTTGGACGTATAAGCAGATGCCTGGCCTTGATCCAAAAGTTGCGGTCCATCACCTTGCAGTCAAACCTGGAACACGTCTAATCAAACAAACTCAATGTCGCTTCCGTCCGAAGCTCCTAAGTCAAATCGAAGCCGAAGTTGACAAGTTGATCGCGGCCGGATTTATTAGGGAGGTAAAATACCCAACGTGGATAGCAAACATTGTTCCGGTGAAAAAGAAAATCACTGGACAAATTCGTATTTGTGTTGACTTCTGAGACTTAAACGAGGCTTGCCTGAAGGATGACTTTCCATTGCCCATAATTGAGCTCATGGTCGATGCAACCACAGGTCACGAAGCCTTATCTGTCATGGATGGTTCATCTGGATACAATCAAATAAGAATGTGGCTAGAGGACGAAGAACTCACCGCCTTCCGCACTCCAAAAGGAATTTACTGTTACAATGTGATGCCATTTGGCCTTAAGAATGCAGGTGCGACCTATCAATGTGCAATGCAAAAGATCTTTGGTGAAATGCTTCACAAGAATGTCGAGTGCTACGTTGATGACCTGATGATCAAGTAAAAAAGAAGAAAAGATCACTTGAAAGACTTGAGAATGGTGTTTAACAAATTGCGGAAGTACCAACTCAAGATGAACCCTTTGAAGTGTGCTTTCGGTGTCACGTCAGGTAAATTTCTTGATTTCATCGTTAAACATCAAGGCATCGAAGTAGATTATACCAAGATTAGAGCCATCCGAGATATGCCGAGCCAAGAAATTTACTTGAGTTGAAAAGTTTACAAGGACGCCTCGCGTTTATTTGGCGATTCATCTCAAACTTAGTAGGGAGGTGTCAGTCATTCAGTCGCGTTATGAAAAATAATGTTCCATTTGTTTGGGATGAAGCTTGTCACAATGCCTTTGAAAGCATAAAGAAGCACCTATCGAGTTCACCATTGTTATGAGCTCCTATTCCAGGCAAACCACTCACATTGCGGCTCAAGAAAGATCAATTGGAGCCTTTTTAGTGCAAAAGAATGAGTCACATAAAGAGCAAGCACTCTACTATTTAAGCTGAACGCTTACTGGTCCCGAACTAAACTACACGCCTATAGAAAAGATGTGTCTTGCACTTGTTTTTGTTATTCAAAAGTTAAGGCACTACATGCAAGTGTTCACGGTTTATCTAATTGCATGAGCTGACCTGGTAAGGTATGTTACATCAAAACCAGTCTTGACAGGGCGTTTGGCCAAGTGGGCGTTACCTCTCAATCAATATGAAATCATCTACACTCCAACAGAGGCAGTTAAGGGGCAAGCTGTTGCAAATTTCCTAGCTGATCATCCAATTCCAGCAGACTGGGAAATTTCAGATGACTTACCCGACAAACAAGTCTTCTTCGCTGACGTTTCTCCTGCTTGGATGATGTTCTTTGACGGATCAGCTCGTAAAGATGGGGCGGGGGCTGGCGTATTCTTCGTATCACCCGAGACACAGGTATTGCCCTATTCATTCACTTTAAGTGAACTTTGCTCGAACAATGTTGCAGAATACCAGGCTTTGATCATAGGCTTACAAATGGCTATGGATATGAAGATATCAAGCTTAGAAGTATATGGTGACTCCATGTTAGTAATCAACCAACTGTTGACCCACTATGAAGTTAGGAAGGATGATCTAATTCCGTACCACCAAATGGCCACGCAATTACTAGAAATGTTTGACTTCGTGACGCTTGAGCATGTGCCAAGAAAAGACAACCAAATGGCAAATGCCTTAGCCAACCTTACTCCTACAATGGCGTTGACAAAAGATGAAGTGGTGAATCTTCCAGTTTGCCAACGTTGGGTCATTCCATTAATACTTGGGGCATCGCAAGAAAGAGTCAACGTTATCTCGGTATTGTCCATTGACGCTGACGACTGGAGGCAGCCTTTAATTGATTATCTTGAGCATGGGAAACTGCCAAATGATTCGAGACTTCGATCAGAGGTACGGCGTCGGGCACCTCGATTCATTTATTATAAAGAGATTCTATACCGTCGTTCATTCGAAGGCTTGTTTCTAATATGCTTGGGCGAAGAAGATGCATCCAAAGCAATGGAGAAGGCTCACTCAGGTATTTGTGGAGCTCATCAATCAGGGCCAAAGCAACATTTACAAATAAAGAGGATGGGCTACTATTGGCCGACTATGGTCAAGGATTGCATGGATTATGTGAAGAAATGGCAAGCATGTCAATTCCATGCCAACTTTATACATCAGCCGTCGGAGCCGCTACATCCTACAATTACTTCATGACCATTTGATGTGTGGGGTCCTGATGTGGTGGGACCAATAGCACCCAAATCTTCTGATGGTCATTCTTACATCCTGGCAACCACCGATTACCTTTCAAAATGGGCAGAGGCTGTACCCCTAAAAGAAGTAAAGAAAGAAAATGTAGTGAGCTTTATCAAACAACGGAAAGCCATTTTCGAATCGGTTAATGGATAAATTGTGTGAAGACTTTGGTTTCAAACAACGCAACTCTTCAATGTACTGTTGTGTCTACCCAAGTGCAAATAGTCACACGTAGTAATAATCTTGGAAGTCCAAGTATCGTATCCTCAAGGAGCAGGTAGGCAAATATCTGTACACAAAGAAATAATTAAACGTACCACAATAAAAGTGACATGCAAAATGGAAAAGTAATTTGATTTGATTGTTGTGGAAAATTGAGTTTAAAAATTAAATATCAATAATGGAAATGCTAAGGCATCAAGGTTCAATTCTTTAAACAAAATATGTTTCATGCTCTTTAATCCAAATTATAACTCAATTAAAATCATCATTGAGAAAGTTTAACCGGAAGATAAAGAAATTAAAACCAATTTAATTTTTCAAAGTAATTTTTTATTAATGATTGTTCAGAAAATGGAGTTGCTTAATATCTACTCTTTTAATTTAAAAGCATGTCAAGTTAGTTCTTAACAATGAGAAAAATATAATTGAACTCATGAAAAGACAATAGCACTTAACATCAATCAAAATAAAAGGATATGAAAATATTGAACATCCAAAAATAAAAGAATTTAGCAATTCATACCGTATATTGGATTAAAGAACAATTCACAAACTTACTCAAAGAACATTCCCTTTAGCCTTAGCTAGAGTTCTATCAACTCATTACAAAGGAAAACATAAACTAAATGGATAAAGAAATCTGTCGTAGGGGTTCCCTTGCCAAATAAGTTGATGGGTGATTTATAGTAGTCAATGAGGTGAGTGGGAAGTTAATACATTCGTGGTGGGTGATGAAGGGTTTAATTGAGAGATTAATTGGATTAAACATGTGTTGATGGTGGAGAGTTAGTGGAAAAGAAATAACGGTGAGGTAAGTGGGCGTTAAATGGCTATGAATGACATGAAATAGGCTCTTTAGCTTCAACGGTTTTATCTTCTCTTCTCCCTCTTTACTTCTCTTTATAATCACAGTAATCCCACAATCAATTCTTCAATTAAATCCGCCAGAAATTCTCTTCACACCTAGCTTGAACTTGGACAAAGGTATGTCTTCATCTTTTGCCTTTCCAACTTCCTACAAAAGATAAATTCACCTAATAAGTTCACCAAATTAATATAGAAAATTCATAAATCCAGTTGGTGAAAATAAAATGTAACAACAAGTGAAATTATATCCATTAAGCCAAAATTAGATCATAAAGTCTCCAAAATAATAGTAAAAAGATGTAATTTGAGACTCTCATCATGTACAATGCCCCAGCCAACGGTCTTGCAGAAGCGTTTAACAAAATTCTTTGCAACCTGTTGAAGAAAGTTGTTGGAAGAACCAAGAAATATTGGCATGAAAGGATAAATGAAGCATTGTGGGCTTATCGGACGACATACCAGACGCCTACTCAGGCTACACCATACTCACTTGTGTATGGCGTGGAAGCAGTGTTAACTCTAGAAAGTCAAATTCCATCATTGAGGATGGCCATACAAGAGGGATTGATAGATGAAGAGAAGGCAAAGCTACGTCTCCAAGAGTTAAAAGCACTAGACGAAAAGAGACTCGAAGCGCAACAATGCCTAGAGTGTTACCAAGCTCGGCTTTCAAATGCTTTTAACAAGAAGGTTCGCCCCAGGTCTTTTCAAGTAGGAGATATTGTCCTCGCATTACGTAGACCTATCATCACAACACACAAAACCGGAAGCAAGTTTACTTTGAAATGGGATGGGTCCTACGTAGTACAAGAAGTGTACACAAGTGGCGCTTACAAGATCGTAGCCGATGACGGTTTAAGAGTCGGCCCTATCAACTGAAAGTTCTTGAAACGATACTACGCATAAAATGACACCAAGCTCCTGGCCCGCATGAGCCTAAACTGTGTACGAAACAAAAAAAAAAAAAAAAAAAAAAAAAAAAAAGGATTGAAAACTCGAAAGGGCGGGTCCAAGCAAAACTTAGAGCACAAGAAAGTTCGTTGAACTTGAAAACCCGAAAGGGTGGTTCAAGCAAAAGTTAGAACACAAAAAAAAAACCCTTGAACTATGTGATGACTTGATCCCTTTTCACCAAGGGTACGTAGATAGCTTGGACAAAATTCCAAGTTCAGTCACATCAAAATAAAAACAAAGGGTTTTCCCCATCAATTCGAGCCATTCGAAAGAAATAATGAAATAAGAAAATGCTTTTATTTCATTATGAAAGTTCAAATAGAAATATAAATAAAGCCAAGAAAGTTTACAACAACAGAATTTGCTATTCCCAAGACAAGTCCTTGAAGCCATTACGCAGTCTCTCAAAAGAAACTTGTAATGTATTTAAAGTCTCGGCATCTGCAACAGATAGTATAGGAGCTCCTTCAACTGCAATCTTATCCTCTCTCAAGCGGGTAACGTCACGACAATGGTAAGAAAGTTGTACATCACTCTCTGAAAGTGATTCATTTAGTTGATGCAGTCTCAACTCCAGTTGTTCTTGTTCTTTCTTCAACTCCTCTATACGCATCTTGGCAGATTGAATAAACTCAAGTACAAAAAACTGATGAGTCTCTTCAGCTTGTTGCAAAGCCAAGGCAATAGAAAATGAAGAGTCAACTGCAACTAAACGATCGCTCTGAGCCTCGGGAGATAGCTTTTAGGAGTAAGTACCAACTCGTAAAGATGAGACGTCCGCCCTTACATTGTCAAGGGTAGTCAACAATTTGCCAAGCTCATCTTTGAATGAAGGAAGCCTTTCTAATGAAGCCTTCAAGATTATACTTTTTATTTGGTTTCCTAAAACGGAGATTACTTTGTGAAGGGTTTTGTCCGCAACACCTAATTTGGGTTCCCCACATGACATTTCAGAAGTTGATGCATGATTAGCGAGCTTTAATAAATGTGGTTGTGCAAACAAACCTACATTGGCCGACGAGTATTGGTTAAGCAAGTAGACTCAAAGATTTTTAAACACTAAGCGTGATAAAGATTGGAAGCATACCTCTTAGACTAGCACCTGAACCACTTATCGGGTGAAAAGTATCATTTTCTCCTTCGATAGGCAAATGGTTGAATGGCACGAGCTCGGACATAGTAGGAACATGATGTACTACTTCTCCCTAAAATGTATATAATAAATTAGAATTGGTTGTTATAAAAAATTTATAATAATTATATAAAATAAAATATAAAAAAAAGAGCTCAAAGAGAAGTAAAGTACATGCCTCGTTAATTAGAATTGGTTGTGAAATAGCGGGTACATCACAAAAAAATGTGTCATCAAAAGGGTATGCCGTGTCTAGATCGCAATAAAGAGGTTCGACGCTTGTCTTCTTATGCTTAAAGTTGACTTCACTGTCTTCATTGCTGCTTATATGCCCTAGCTTCAAACGGCGAATTCATCGACCAAGGGGAATGAAATCTTCCTAAGAATCTGCTACACTTTCTGTTTCTTCTTTATCATTAGGGACTTGAGTTGAAGGAACATAAATCGGAGGTGGGTGTTGAACTCGAGGCATAGGAGTAGTATAACTACCTTCAACTTCTGAATGAACTCGGAGGGCTCTACCACGGGTGAGTTTATCATGAACTAAAGTTTCGTTGCCTTAAGACTTAAAAGATTTTGGCTGAGAAAGTGACGACGACTTGCCTACAGTTGAAATTTTCTTTGATTTCATCGAATCAAAGCGATGAACCTTCGACCACCAAATAACATAATCGGATGTGACCTCAAACTCCCGAATATTGTCCTTAGTGGGTAGGGTTATTGTAGATGCACTGCCAATCTTCAAGCATGATTTCCAATGTGAGTAAACTGATAGCACAGTCCCATTCCGAACGTCATCTTTAAGTTCTCCTGGCACATGTTGTACATAACAAAATTGTCTATTGAATCGGTGCGGGCTATAAGGTTGGATGACTCGGTAGTTTTCCTGTCGTAGAGAAACAAATCCCAAACGAAGGCATATCAAATACTCAAAGTCTTCTTTAGAAATATGATCTTCATCAGTCAGTTGTTTACATTCTGAAAATACTCTCGCCAAATGACTCATTTCCACTTTACCACAAGTCCGGAACAAAGCTCAAGCTATTGAGTCTTTAAAAAATTTTGCCAAAAGTGTTCTTAAGAACCTTTCCATGATAGGAATGGACTTCTCGGAAGATGATGTGAAGTGTGTGTTGAAGTATTTGCCCAACCACCCATACACATAATGGAAAGGTAGAACAGTTGTGCAATTTCCTGGATCATCTGCACTAGAAATATCGTGTAGCCCCTTGTAAATGTTGGCCAATACTGGAACTGCTAGGCCAAATGATACACCGTGCACCATTCGACTGACAACTTTGAAAACCCTTGGTCTGATCAAAGTTACGTCGTCTTTGGGAAATACAAATTTGCACAACAAGCAAGCAAGGAATGCAGCCAAGTAGGATTTTTCCATGTCTTCATCAGCTATACCCAAATCTTCAAAAACCATTTCCTCTTCCTCAGTGCATTTCAATGCCGTCGGAATGATACCAGATGGATCAGAGTCCTCCTTTGGCTTTTGTGACTTGTTCCGTTTGGTTTTCCTTGAAGGCTTTTTATACTTGAATGGCCCTTGATACCAGTACTTTATCCAAGCAGTCATTCTCACTCCAGATTTTCCTTTAGAATCCCATAAAATCTTGTGATACGCTAAGAATAAGTAGCGACAAATGTGTAGGATATAAGACACGTCTTTATGATCCTTCTTGTTGAGACTTTCAATGGTTGGAATAACTTCATCATAAAATCAACCTGTAATAGGGAGACCGCCAATTTCATGAAGATCCCAAAGGGAATTAGACATCTCTCCTTGCGACGTATGAAGAGTATTTGTTGTAGGACACCAGTACTCGCAAAAAGCTCGAATGACTGGAGCATGTCGATCATAGCTAAATAATGAGGCAAAGACTGCATTATACAGACCGGTGCTCTTAAGAACCTGAGTATTTCTACATAGCACATCTTCAAGCCACTCCCAGTAATACTCTATAAATGTAGATTCACCAGCCGTCGGGAGAGCAAAACTCCAATTCACTGCTCCATTATGGATTCGATCGCTAAGAAGTTCGAATGCCTTTGATGAACCGGTATCTGTATGATGCAAGGACTTTAACTATAAAACAGTGGAGTGAAGGTCCCTATCTATAAACTTGGATTTTTTGAAGCTGCTCAGTTGACAAAACACCTCTTGAGACCAAGACGGAATATGGAGAGAATTGTCCACCTCGAATATTTCCGAAGCTAGGAGAGGCGCACCTACAAGCAATGTGGTACCTTCGTCCCGGTTATCACTTTCATCCTCAAGAATAGTGACGGTGCCTTTCTTGAAACACTTGAAGAAGGCCATCTTCATAAGACGAACGACATGAAACAATATTCAGTATCAGGCTGGTGACTTCACACTTAAAACAAAACAAAAAAAAACAAAAAAAAAACCTTACTTGTACAAGTTTGAAGAGCCGGATAAAGGTGGAATGTCTCGAGAAACAATCTTCACTTGTCTTCCACCTACGTAAAAGCCTAAGCGCTTGAGCGGGTTATCACCAAGTCAAAGAGATGAATCAAACTCAAGCGGCATAGGACGTCTAAGTTCTTCACTCGTCCTCCACCTACGTAAAGCCTAAGCGCTTGAGCGGGTTATCACCAAGTCGGAGAGATGGATCAAACCCAAGCGGTATAGGACGTCTATATTCTTCACTCGTCCTCCACTTATATAAAGCCTAAGCGCTTGAGCGAGTTATCACCAAGTCGGAGAGATGGATCAAACCCAAGCGGTATAGGTCGTCCACGTTCTCACTTTCTTTCAAAGTACCTATTGTAAAAAATATATATATATATATATCATCATAAATATATAAATTGATTGAAAGAGTGATATATGGGCAGCGGTTAAAAAAAAAAAAAAAAAGGGGGTTATTTCGAGCTGTTTGGACCAGCCCAAGCTAAAGTGGACAGCCTAGTCTGCACACTTCTCCAGCCTAGCCAGCACGCAGCCCAGTCTGCCCACTCCTCCAAGCCCAACCAGCGCCCAAAGTCCAGCTCATGCCCCAGTGAGCAAGCCCACGCTTGCAGGCTCCGGCCCAACTAGCATCCAGCACACAGCCCAGCTCGCGTTTCAACCTGCTCCAAGCCCAGGCCCGTGCCACATCACTTCTGCATTCAGCTCCAGCGCAAGCCCACATCTCGCCAAGGCCCAGCGCGGCCTCTCCTAGCCCGAGCCCACGTTGCACACCAAGGCCAGCGCCTCCAAGCTTCCACTTCGCGGAAAGGCTATAATGAGGGCTTAAAGTGAGGAGGTTATTTGAGAAGGTCAAATCTCACAATCAACAAATGTAAAGAAATCATGGGACTTAAATATTTTAAATGTTTTGACGGTCGGATCAGTCTCCTCAAATAACCTCCTCACTTTAACTCCTCATTATAGAAGCTCCCTCCACTTCGAGCCTAGCCCCTCCTTTCCTAGTGTGAGCCCACTTCGCGCACCAGGCCTGGTGTCTCCCTGCCTCAGTGCACGCAGGCTTGAATCTGCCAACCCTTCCACCCTCCAGTCTTGTTTCAACAAAAACCAAAAACAAACAAAAAAAACAAAAAAACAAAAACAAAAAAGCAAAAAAAACAAAAAAAAACAAAAAAAATTAAGAAGCTGACGCAAGAACATGAGGAAACAAATAATGGGTTCAAACTCAGTGACGGAGCCAGGATTTCACATTAAAGGGGGCCTTTTACAAAAAATTTAAAAATAATTCAAATAGGAGTCCTCAAGCGCTAAACGGGTTAATAAGTTAATAATATCATTTCATACTGATTAATAATTTATCCATTTATTACAATCATAATTATCCTGAATTTCATATTTTAACATGGTTGAATATTAATCTCATCATCTACACTATTAAAGACTCAAAATTTAATAATTTAAACTTCAATAGAAAGAAGAAATTCAAAAAATGTTTATAAATCCCAATATTAAGATATCCTACTTAGACATGTAAAATAGGGGAAAGGGGAATTCACAAAGCTTAAATTAATCAAAAGAGGAAGAGAAGGAGAAAAGAAAAAAAAAGAGTCTTTACTCCAAGGAGCAAAAATATAAGTAAAAATTTGAGAAAATAAAAAAAATGAGAGAGGGCCTGGGCCCACCCTGGTCCTTAGGTGGCTCCACCACTGTTCAAACTTACCAACAAGTTTCTTGATAGACCAACAGGTGGTTCTTGCGGTTGTAGAAAAAAAATATCAACGTCAGTTTTCTTTTTCAATTGGCAGCAAATAGGCATATATATAAGAATCAAACACTAAAGAAAAAAAAAGAAAAAGAAAAAAAAAGGCAACTCTCACTACTTTGGTTGTTGAGAATTCAGATGATGCAAACTTCAAAGTCGTAGACTTTCTTGCCAACAAGTGGAGTCTTTGCTGTTCTATTCGGTTAATCTCAATATCCATGAGAGTAGAGCAATTTAAAGAAGCCAAAGGCCATTAAAGCTCCTGGTGGTGCTAGGGTTTCTTATTCCTAGTTTAGGAAAATATTGGATTTTGTATCTTGCTTCCCAAGATCTTACCAATATTGGATATTATTAGGCTTAATAATATCACCCCGAAAAATAAAACGTTGAAAGTAGAAAGCCAACGTTGGAAATAGAGTGATCAATATGGAATGTTATTAAGCTAATAATAATATTACAAACAACAAAAAAAAAAAAAGTAAACTTTCAAAGCTCACAACGTCCTCGGAAGCAATCCAAATTATTGGAAAGAAAACGAAAGGAGTAACACTTCAAGCTGCACCTTCTACATGTGACAAGCACATATCTATAGGGCATCATGAAGTGGGGGCAATTTGTAGACAAAGAAATTTTGGTGCAATAAATTCCATTGGACGAGAAAATAATTAGGGTTCAGTGGATTAAATTGTGGGCCCCATAATTCGCTCATGTGGCACGTGACTCATCAAAGTCGGATTAGTTGTCAAAAAGTGACACGTGGCGACATCCGACGGAGTGCATCAAATGGTTCAAGATGAAAACAAAATTAAGGGAAAGAATCTTCTATGATTGACTTTGATTTAAATCAAATATTAATCAGGTCAATCAATTGAAGATAATATGGTTAAATTGTCAGATTATGGGAATTGATTTAAATCAAATCAAAATCCCACAAAACAAGGTTTTAAATAGGGAAAGTTATTTAGGTTAAGCATCCTACAAGAGCCTATAAATAGGAGGCCTCAAGACGAAAGGAGGGGTGTTCAGAAAAACCTAGCATTCAGAAGAAACAGAAAACTCTCTGCATTCTTCACCTCACTTTGGAAGAACCACCAAGCACAACAAATACGTGCCGGTTCCTCCACCCTAGAAAAATCCAAACACCAAACAAGCCTTGTGCTACCCGTTTGATCAAGATCAAGTCTCTACAACCCTTGTATCAAACACAAATTTTCTTTAAACACTTTGGAGATCGAATCAGAGGATTCAATACAGATATTGTAACCCTAAATTTCATTAATACAAATATTATTTTGTACACATGTTCTTGTCTCATTTGTCGCAAGAAATTCGTGTTTACACCATCATTGTTGTGGTGGTGTCACTTCCACCTGTGATAACGTCCTATTAAACAATTCAAAACAACTTAGTAATCAAAGAGGAGAATTCGAATTTAAAACTTCTTTCAATTTTAGTAATAAGAAGTACACAATTAGATGACAAGCTTGTTAGTCACACCCTAATAAACTGAATATATATGATTCATGAATGTCAAAACATTTATTCTAATACCACATTTGTCTTGAAAGTGAATAATATGAAGAAAAAAAAGGTCCAATATACTTGAAATTTTGATCACATATTTGGTATTTGTATATACACAGAGTTTCAACGGAGAGATTCCTATTTGAGGGACACCCTTTGTGGGGCTCATCTATATTATATTTTATAATCCGATCCATCTAATTTTTAGCTATTCCTTCAAAGATTATTCCTGCAAAAAATCTCTGAATTTGATATCATTTGACCACTCAATTGATAGTTGTAGTTTTAGTGTTTCCTTGAACCATTGGAATCAACTATTTTGTTGATCACAAACAATTCAATGTTGTAATGGTTCCCAATTTTACTAATTTCTTGCAAGGATTGAATGAATGATTCGGATTGTTGTTTTGGACCCTACAGTGTTTCCTCAAATAAAACTAAAGAAAAAGCATAAATGAGATAAAACCAAAAAAAAAAAACGGTAGGCCTTGATTTCTTGCATTGTGAGTGTTTGCACTGTCCTTATTCTTCCTTCCATGTTTTTTCTGTAGCCCCTCATTTTTGGATGGAGGCATACTCATCTGGATTTCAATGGCAGAACTGATGATCTTTTCAGTGACAGAAATAGCCTTCTGTTTGTCGCCTCCTAATCCCTTGTATATCAAACCTGGCAAGCATAGGAAAAAGTCTGAAACGTTTGGTTTAACAAGCAACCCTATGATTTCTGTCACCACCTTCCTCAACTCAACCCCAACACCAGTTGCTCCCTTCTCTTCCTGCAGCGTTCCGCTCCATACCAAGCGCTTGAGTGTGTTGATGCTGGTAAAAAATGCTACCTCCCCAAAATCAATTGGGGTGCCAACTTTTCCATAAATATGGCTGATAGACCTGTCCACCTCTTCTTTCCTCAAAGCATAGCAAGCATCAACGTTGGCATTACTGAGCGTGTGGTTCATGACTACCTTGCGCAACTTCCTCCAATCCGGTCCATATGGTGCAAACGCGATGTCGGTCCCACCGTATGAGGCAATCTGTGCAGCAACGGTGGCGTCGCGATTGGAAAATATAATTTCGTGGTCACGAAGCACTTGTTTCACAAGAGTTGGTGATGAGATCACAAAGCATAGTTTGCTACCTAGCTTGAGTTTGTAAATAGGGCCGTAGATTTTTGCCAAGTTTGTGAAGTCGTAGTGAAGGTCGGTACCTAAAGAGGGAAGGTACCCTAGCAGGGGCAGGCCACGAGGGCCTGGCGGCAATGGAGTTGTTGGTTTCCTTGACTTTTTCCAAGTCAACAGGTACCAGAAGAGAGTAAACAGTAGGGCTAAAGGGGTCACAAATTTTGCTTCATCAACATCCCACCATGGTGACCACATTAGCTTCAACATTTTAATTGGCCTTATTGTAAATGAAAGGTTACCAAAACTCATATAGTGGTGTTTTTTTTTTTTTTTTTTTTTTTTTTTTTTTTTTTCCACCAGATAAAATAATAGATAATTTTTTAGATAAGTGCTATATATTTTGCCAGAAAAAATGTCAACCTTGAACCCACCGAACAAAATATCCAGAAGAAAATTCAAGGAATTTGAAGCAAAAAACCAAAGGCATTTTGTATAAATGGTTGTAGTTGAGATAAGGAATTTCTAGGAAAGATGAAAAATAATCACAAGTACGAAATAGCTTTTGTCCATTTTCTAAAAATATGCTGGCTATGAAAGAAAAAGTCTTTGGTTTAGGGCGGAGGAAGAGTCTTGATTCTTTTTGGACTCCAAAGATGACACAATCTTAGTCTGTAAGAGCACTTCCACCAGTTAGCCCTTGTCATGGCAAGGGGAGCCCTAGGGCGGCTTCTATTCACGTGAATAGTGGCTGCCCTAGCACAAAAAAGAAAAATTGTGTTTCCAGCAGTGCAAGGCCTGCCATGGCAAATACTATTCATTTTTTTGTTTTTTTCACAACTTTGTTTACTTAAACAATTAATTTGAATGAAGAGTTGGTGTTAAAAGTGAAGAGTATTGGTTGGTATTTATAAATAATTAAAAAAAATAGTATTTTTTCGTATTTTTTTAAATTTTTTCCGATTTTTTTTCATTTTTTATTGGGCAAAAAATTGTCTGCCGCTGGATTGCTGGAAAAAAATTATCGGAGAGCCCAGGAGCTTCCACGTGGCATAGAGCCGTTGGGGGTTGCTTTTTCGATTTTTTTATTCGCGAAAAAATGGCTGCCGTTGAGTATGTTTAAAAAGCTGATCGGATGGCTCAGCAGAAGACACGTGAAAGAGAGCCATTAGACTGTCACTGTAGCAGCGCGTCAAATTTTTTTTAAAGTTTGCGCGTGTTAAAAAAATTTAAACTCCAGCACTGACGTCATCGTGACGTCAGCGCGATGACGTCAGCACAGCCCGCGAGCTGGAGCTCAGGCCAGCCTCCCCCACGGGCCAGCCCAGGTATGTGGGCCCCACTGCTTGCTGCCAATGCTCTAATGGGGCCTCTCAGCTCCCAAACAATGCATCATAAAATTCATGTTCAGAAAGATACACAACACATATCCCAATAAATCCTTGCGGTCCTAAATGAAGTTGGCTACTCATAGAGTGCAGGATCAGATAACCTAGGAGTTGGGATAGCAACCAAAGGCATCTTCTTTTTCAGCACAATACCAAACTTCTCTGAAAGATCCAACTTCTGTCCTTGTGGCAATGTCCAGTCAAAAGAGTGCACAAGTGTAGCAAGTGAATGCATCACCATCCTCTCAGCCATTGCAATCCCTGCACATATCCTCCTGCCAGACCCAAATGGGAAATAGTTGAAATCATTTCCACTATAGTCCCATTCGCTGTTCAAGAACCTTTCTGGATCAAACTCCAACGGGTTTTCCCAAATAGAAGGATCCCTGTGTATTGCCCAGACGTTGAAGAAAATCCGGGATCCTTTCGGGATGGTGTAGCCTCCCACAGTGCAGGTTTCACTTGGGCAATGAGGGACTAGAAGTGGCAGGACTGGGTGCAAGCGCAGAGTTTCTTTCATCACAGCTTGTAAGTAGGGTAGTTTATGAATATGAGACTCTTCTACAATGTTGTGTTTGCCAACTACAGCTTCTAGTTCTTGCTGGGCTTTTTTCATCACCTCTGGTTTGTGCATAATTTCAGCCAATGCAAACTCAGTTGTGTTGGAGGAAGAATCACTGCCACCCACCACCATATCCTGCCCACAGTTAGATTACAAAGCATCATGGTAATGGACTTAGTTGTTTAACTTGAAACAAGAAAAATAATAATAATAATTTGCTTGAGCTTTCATGTCCCACATTGACAACTGCGTGTTTTTTTATTTAGTTCATCACCATTTAGATGTATTAATGGTTTATGATTTGTCTACTTTTTTTCATAAATGATATACAAAAAAAGAAAGAAAAAAACAGAAGTGTTCAAGTGAAGTTAAAACGAGTCATACATATATACTTACCATAAGCAAAGCTTTGAGATGGGTCATAGTGAAAGGCGTCTTCGAATCTCCTCCCTCGTCTTTCAACTTCAACAAAAACGTCAAAACATCAATGCTCTTTTTCGCGCTTTCTTTATCCATCCGCAGCCGTTGATCAATTACCTTCTCAAATATCCCATCAAACCTCCGAGCCAACCCCGCCATCCGCTTCTCCACGCCTTGCAAATCGAACCGGGCCAAACCCGGGTAAAAGTCCGAAACATTGGGCTTCCCCATAAGCTCTGTCATCTCCGATACAACTTCCCGAAACTCGGCTCCAAGTCCAGCCCTCTCGTCCCCCTCCACCGTCCCACCCCACAACGTGTTGGTGATAACATTGAGCACATTCAAGAACATCTGCTCACCGACGTTTACCGCCGACCCGACCCGACTGTAGAAGTACCCGACAGTTTCCCGGAGCTGCGTTCTTCGGAGTTCGTACACTGAGTCCAGAGTGGTGTTGCTGAGCATCTTGAGCATGCAGACTTTTCTCAGCATTCGCCACTGGGGTCCGTACGGGGACCACGCGATATCATTTCCTCCGTAGGTGGAGGCCCTAGCGGCGGCGAGGACGTCACGGTTGGCGAAGGTGACGTCATGGTCTTTGAGGATCTCGCGGGCTAAGGAAGGGGAGGTGACGACGACAGCGAGGGTTTTGCCGAGGCGGAGCTTGAAGATTGGGGCCGTGGGATTGGGCCAGCCCCGCGAAGAAGGAGTGGAGTTCCGGGTCGAGAGATAACAGGTTCCCGACCAACGGCAGTCCTATCGGACCAGGCGGCAGCGGCGGTGTTGCGTTCTTGGACTTTTTGTAAAGCCATGCGTACCAAAAGGCGACGGCGACAGCGGAGACGGCAAAGGCCAGCCATGTTTGGTCAATATTTGTGTAAAGGGCTTGAAACTGCTATGAGAAGAAGGTGCTGTAATAAGAATCGGATGCCATGTTGTGCGTTTTGTGATCAGCAATGGGATTTGAGTTGAGGGAAGGGGAGAAGTTTGATCGGGTTTGAGTGGAAAGTTGACAGGTAGGTGGTAGTGACGACGAGAGACCAATAAGTTATCTGACCAAAATTGATAAAGAGATCAAATATAAGTGGTCTTGTTGTAAAGTCTTGAGTGGAGCCCACACAGTTGGAAATAATGAAGAACATCCTGATGAAAGTGCTGTGGAAGTGGAATCCTGGAAGACATGATTGCACATCCACTGGAAGCCAAGAGACTATCAGCACAAATATCTCCTAAATACCAGCTGAGTTCTTCTAATCAACACCAGAACAGACCACCTTGCAAAAACTCAAGCAGAGGCTTGGTGGGATTTTCTTTTGTTTTCCCAGATAAGCCACTTCACAAATTCAAGAACCAGACTTGGTTCACAAAACTTCTCATGGGTCTTCAGTTCTTCTCCATCGTCCAGTGGACCCTGAGCATAATTCAAGCTTCTCATACTACCACTACTACTTCGTCTTCTTCTTGTACTAATTCAAATTTCAAACTGAATTAACAAGAAAGCCTCAACCTTTTCATCAGCTTCAGAGCAAATGCACCAACTTGCTCCGCTTCATAAAGATTCAACCAGACAAAATTGAAGCCAACCCATTTGAGGAAACAAACACCCACTACTTCACCATCAGCTGCAACTCCCACTAAGCACAAGTCTCCGGCATCTGCTCCCACTCCAGATTTGGACAGCCCACCTGCGCCTCCGGCCGAGGAGAAGAAGAAGCCCATCAAATCAAAGAAGAATCCATACTCAATCGAAGAAGAAGCCCCTACAACCTTGAAGAATAGTTCAAAATCTAAGATTTGAGAGCAAGAGAAAAACAGAGAAGTGAATAACTCTGTAAACATATAAATTATAAAATAAACGACAAAGCAAACCTTACCTTCAATGATTTTACCAACTACCAAACCATGCAACAAAAGATCCAAATCCCAGCTTCCCCACTACGTCAGTCCAGCCAAAGAAAATCAAACCCCCAGCTTCCAACCAAAATAAAATCCAATCTTACAATCCCTCTCACATACATAAAGCAAAGGACCATGAACTCAAACCTCTCTTGATATGGGTTTGGATTGAGTATTTGGTTTTAAAATTCTTGATCTGAGTTTTTTTTCCCCGGTGTTTTGAGGCGATGGAGAAGAGAATAGGGGAGAGAGAAAGAGAGAGAGATGGGGCGGGTACGGTGATGGATTTGTTTGTTTTTAATTTTAATTTTGTATTTATATTTTATTAATATAAAAATATTTTTAGATTAAATTTTTTAATAAAAAAGTGTAAATTAAAAAAAGAAAAACATTTATGTTGTTTTTTAAAGTAGAAAAAGAATGAAGAAAAAAAATAAACAGTTTCATCTTTAAGTCCTTTTTGGTCATTATACACACTAAAAGCACTTATGATAAAAATTTACCAAACATTTTGACTACTCAGAGCAGTTTTTCAAATACAATTTACAAAACGCCTAGCTGTTTTTTTTTCACAACTGATTATTATCGCAGCACAGCAGAAGCAATTTTTTTTAAAACACAGTAGTGCCAAACTAACCCTAAAGCATCTTTTGATGAGAACAGCAAACCCACCGAAATAAAATAAAATAAGCAAAGCTCTCTAGAAAATAAACGGAATTCGAACTTCAGATCTTTGTCACCACCAATTTGATATCTAGATATAATTCAGACAACAAAAAATATCTAGATTAATAAGTCTTTGTAATGGAGCCTCAACTCCCAAATAACGCAACATAAATTCATCCGGATTTTACCATGTTCTGAAAGACACATACACAACAATTATCCCAAGAAATATTTGTGGGTGAAAAAGAAGTTGGGCTACTCATAGAGTGCTGGATCAGATAACCTAGGAGTTGGGATAGCAACCAAAGGCATCTTCTTTTTCAGCACAATTCCAAACTTCTCTGAAAGATCCAGCTTCTGTCCTTGTGGCATTTTCCAGTCAAAAGAGTGCACAAGTGTAGCAAGTGAATGCATCACCATCCTCTCAGCCATTGCAATCCCTGCACATATTCTTCTGCCAGATCCAAATGGGAAATAGTTGAAGTCATTTCCACTATAGTCCCATTTGCTGTTCAAGAACCTTTCTGGATCAAACTCCAACGGGTTTTCCCAAATAGAAGGATCCCTGTGTATTGCCCAGACGTTGAAGAAAATCCGGGATCCTTTCGGGATGGTGTAGCCTCCCACAGTGCAGGTTTCACTTGGGCAATGAGGGACTAGTAGTGGCAGGGCTGGGTGCAAGCGCAGAGTTTCTTTCATCACAGCTTGTAAGTAGGGTAATTTGTGAATGTGAGACTCTTCTACAATGTTGTGCTTGCCAACTACAGCTTCTAGTTCTTGCTGGGCTTTCTTCATCACCTCTGGTTTGTTCATAATCTCAGCCAATGCAAACTCAACTGTGTTGGAGGAAGTGTCACTGCCACCCACCACCATATCCTGCCCACAGCCAGATTACAGAACATCATGTTAATGGACTTGGTTGGTTAACTTGAAACAAGAACAACGAAACATCCAGGTTTACACTGTCTAGCTGCATTATTCATCAATTGCAATCTTAAGCATTAATATTTGCTTACAACAAGTTTTAAGGTTTTAATTTTTAACTAGGGACTTCTTCTATTCACCTCCAAAATCTTCCCAACAATCAAGTTTGAATGAAAATTTAATTACGATTGCTCCCCCTAAACGACTAAGCCCAACAAATTACCAAGGGGAGTCTCAAGTAAATTACTTTCTAAATCCTTCACATTATTACCTAGAATGAATTTACTGGGGCGATCATTAAGGGCATCTCCGGGCATGAAGGTTAAATGTAGCTCCATGCTCTAATATAGTCCTCCAAAATATTAATTTAAAAAAAATAGTGTAGGGCTAATTTTTCCATTTCTTGCCATATAGGGCTATATTTAAGGACCTTCCATATTGTATTATTTTAGAAGAACTATTGTACAACACTCATACATTCCACTATTATGTATTGTTAATACCCACAACGCTATCTCCGTAAACTTTTATGAAAGCCTTGCAAAGATAACATCTTCCACTCGTGACCAATTCAGCCGCTTCGAAGTCCATGACATTTTTCAAATAATGTGAATAACAAAATAACTAAAGATAATAAATTTGTAGGAAATGTTTGAATGAAATGAGTGTGGAAAAGATTTGATCCAAAAAAACAAAAAATAAGAGTGGAAAGTTTTGAATAAGTAGATAATGTGATAAAATTTGTAAGAAATGTGGAATAAAATGAGTGTGAACATTTTTGAAGAAATTTGGAGGTATTTATAGACATATTTTAGTTGTTTTTTATAAGAAAAAAAAATTAAGCCCACAATGGTTATTTTGAAAAAATGGATGCACCTTCAAAAACCAAATTTTTATTTTAAAAAACTAATTTTAAAACGTTAAAATAGAAGAAAAAAAAACAATTGGTCCGGACTACAGCTAGCTACATGTGGCTTGGGAGCAGGGCTAAGAGCTACTCCAGCGATCAAGCCCAGCCCGAGGCTGGGGGGGAAAAAAAAATTGCGTTCCAGCGAACAACCCAGGCCACATGTGAGACCCACCAACCCGGGCAGCTCCAACGGCTGGAAGCCACGTGGCACGCCCTCAGCGCTCCGATTTGCTTCCACAGCCTTCATCCAATGACTAGCGTTTTTCCAGCAATAAAATTATGAAAAAAAATCAAATTTTTTTAATAAAAAATACTTTAAAATTCTGATTTTTTTTTCCTATAAATACCTATAAATACCCTTCACTTTCAACACCAATTCTCATACATTTTATTCTACTTCTACAATTACTCAACATTTTATTCACTCTTCACTCAACATTTTCATCTCTTTCACCTTGTATTTTTATTTCTTATTTTTATGGCTTCTTCTATTTTAGTAGTAGTAATCTTAATGACTTGTATTGGATTTCTTTATTTAATAAACAAAGCATTCAATAAAAGACATTTTATTCAACATATTCCATACATCAAACAAAACATAATTAAAATTAAAAAAAAACTACAAACAAGGCACAATAATGAATAAATAAAACAACACAACCAAACCATAAGCAATAAAAACAACACAACCAAACCATAAGTAAATAAAACATAACCCAAACCATAAGCGATATTTTCCGATATATCGCGGTAATCAATTTGAATTTTGAAATTCATCCGAAATTTGAACCCAAAAATTATCTGAAATTTGAATTTTGAAATTCATCCGAAATTTGAACCCAAAAATCTTATTCGGAAATTTTATCCGATTATGAATAGTCTTGACACGTAGGAACCCGGAAATCTTCTCCGAAAATATTATCCAAATTAATTATTGATGTGAAAAAATTTGTGAATAAAATAAAATAATAAATAGTAACCGCCCTTAGCAAGGGCAACGGATGGAAACACAAAATACTATTTACAAGGGCAACCACTATTCACGTGAATAGTGGCTGCCTTAGCTCCCCCCTTGCCATGGCTAAAGGCAAATGGGTAGAATTGCTCTAAGGGATGTAGCCCTCAAAATTTGGCCTAACTTAAAACATACATTGATTGGTGGAGGTGTACAAAATATTGGGGGGGCCAGCCTTGTGAAAGTGTCTCTGCCCCTAATCGTGTTTATCTATTTAGTTCAACAATATTAGATGTCTTAAGATTGGTCTAATTTTTCTTTCAAAGATGATAAGTTAATTTCCCCGAAAAAGAAAGTTAAACGAAGTCGTACCATGAGCAAAGCTTTGAGATGGGTGATGGTGAAAGGGGTCTTGGAATCTCCTCCCTCGTCTTTCAACTTCAACAAAAAGGTCAAAAAATCCTTACTCTCCTTCGGGCCTTGCTTGTCAATCCTCATCCGTTGATCTATTATCTTCTCAAAAATCCCATCAAACCTCCGGGTCAGCCTGCCCATCTGCTTCTCCACGCCCTGCAAATCGAACCGGGCCAAACCCGGATAAAAGTCCGAAACATTGGGCTTCCCTAGAAGCTCCGTCATCTCCGACACCACCTCCCGGAACTCCGCCCCCAGCCCCGCCCTCTCATCGCCCTCCACCGTCCCACCCCACAGCATGTTGGTGATCACATTGAGCACGTTCAAGAACATCTGCTCGCCGACATTGACCGGCGACCCCACCCGACTGTAAAAGTACCCGACAGTTTCCCGGAGCTGCTTTCGCCGGAGTTCGTACACCGAGTCCAGAGTCGTGTTGCTGAGCATCTTGAGCACGCAGACTTTTCTCAGCATCCGCCACTCGGGCCCGTATGGGGTCCACACGATATCGTTTCCGCCGTACGTGGCGGCCCTTCCGGCGGCGGGGACGTCGCGGTTGGCGAAGGTGACGTCATGGTCTTTGAGGATCTCGCGGGCTGAGGAGGCGGAGGTGACGACGACTCCGAGGGTGTTGCCGAGGCGGAGCTTGAAGATCGGGCCGTGAGCTTGGGCCAGGCCCGCGAAGTAGGAGTGGAGTTCCGGGTCGAGAGATAGTAGGTTCCCAACCAGGGGCAGGCCCATCGGGCCCGGAGGCAGCGGCAGGGTCGTGTTCTTGGACTTTTTGTAGAGCCATGCATACCAAAAGACGACGGCGACGGCGGAGACAGCAAAGAGCAGCCATGTTTGGTTAATATTTGTGTTATTGGCTTGAGACTGCCATGAGAGCAAGGTGCTGTAGTAGGAAGGGGATGTCATGATGCGTGTGTTGTGATCAGAAATGGGACTCTGTGATTGTGGTTGTGGGTATAGAATGGAAGATAATTTAAATGGTTTTTTCCTTATTTTTTTAGTGAACGGGATTCGAACTTGAGACGTCGGTCACCAATTTGATATCTAGATTAATATTCAGACAAATTAAAAAACAGATACATAGATTAATAAGTTGAAACAAGAAAGTCATATATGCTTTCTGTGGCTGTAGAATCTTTTCTAATTGTGCCAAGTTTGGCAGTTAGCTATGTCTCATTTCACATATCTTTAGGAGCAGATCAAATTATAAGTGTTATTAGAGTGTCAATATCAACCACTGATTATAATATTATCATACA